TCGATTTAATTGTCCTGGAAAGTAAGTTCTTCAAATTGTCTCTGTAATTTTTTAGGATCTGTAATATAGCATTTTATTATATGAAAATTATACTTGTAATGGAAGTCAGATACAAAAATATTCATTTCTCCGATATAATCCGATAATTCTTTCTAAATATCAGACGCTGTTAATTACGATTAAAATAAATAATGAAGAGTAAATATATTTCTGTACAGATTTGGCCAATTGTATTTACAATTACATGCAGTTAAACGTAAAAGTTTGAAATTCCTGTTTAAATAATAATCTCACCAGAATAGAGAGAAACTTCTGCCGCGATTATCTTTTGATTTTCACGTGTCGCGGTGGTGAAAGAGAAGAGACAATCTGCCTCGTTATGGAATTAAGTTACTCCCGCGGAACGAACAAATTGTTAATAAATCCTTTGTAAACGGGATTGAAGCGTTTCGAGGCCGCGGAATGCTCGGCAACGTGTAGAATCGTCGCGGAGCTGAGTGAATCGTGAATATAATTGACAATAAGCGAAGTCTAGATTCAATTAAGTCTGCTCGTCTCCGGGGGACGTTTTATCCCGTCATTGTTGGAACTTTTAAAAGCAGCGTAAGAGATAATTAATTGGGACAGGACGCGAAGATCGCCTGACGGAGGAAACATCGTGAAAGGGGGAAAAACGAGGGGGGGAAAAAAAAACTCTCGACCTCCCGAGAATTTACGGCGAGGAAGCGTGCCGTGGATCTTTCATTTATCTTTGATTTCATCCCTGAATTTCAAGTTGGGGTTAACCTATTGTTCGAAAGTCAAGTTGAACGAAGTATTGTTCGAACAATAAGTTTTTGATTAGTGTACTATTCATTTTGACGATACTCACGCTCTTGACTAGTATCTGCTGTTTAACACATTAAATCCTATTTTCTCTTGCACTGTTTCCATCGAGAATTCAATGTTTCGATATTCAATGGCTGAAATTAGCCGGGATTTCACATCACGCGTTAGGAAATTCGATACCAAATGCTCAGCATTAACTGTGATTAGCATCGTGATAGCATTGCATTCAATGCTAGTATTTAATATTAGAGATTAGTATCTAGTATTCATTTTAATCGTTTTATTCAATTTCGTAAGTGTTGCTGGATCGGTATTCGCTTCTAAAGTATCGCGATACTCAATTTTCCAGTGTTTGTCCCATCCCAGTGTAATTTAATGTTCTAATAAACATTATACTCTGACACGTATCGCTACGTATCGCTAAATATCTGTCAAATTTTACCGTGAAAATATTTCGTCAAGCTTCTGTTGTAATAACTCACAGTTTACGACTCCCTCTTCCTGTATCGCATTACCGAACCACTTCCCACGTAAACCATTTCCAAATACCAATCGAAACATTCTATGGCCCTAAACTACACTAGAGTGGGCTGTATAATGCCACTCGTGAACTTATCATTACCAACAAT